CAACAAGGTCATCCTCACGGAGCTAAAGAAGCGACTCGGCTCGGCAAAGGGAGCATGGACTGAAGAATTGCCGGAAGTTTTGTGGGCGTATCGGTGCACACCTCAGTCTCCTACCAGAGAAACTCCTTTCCGCCTAACATATGGTGCCGATGCGATGATACCGGTTGAAGTTGGGGAGCCATCATTTAGACGACGACATTTCCAGGAGGAATCCAATGACAATTCACTTCGGGCCAAACTAGACGTTCTTGATGAAGTACGAGAAAACTCACAAGTAGTAGCCGAAGCATGCAAGCAACGCATGAGTCGGCGCTTCAATTCTAACCTCAAACCAAGAACATTCCAGGCCCAAAGCGGATAATATTTTATTATTATAGAGTATGCTTGTCAAATGTGTGAAGGGAGATAATAATAACTAATCCTTAGTTTCGGAATAATTTCACAATGACTTTTAGGAAGTTTCCAAATTTAATTCTCAAGTATATTATTCCAATCCCTGATATCATACTCTTTTGTCAACATACCTCTTAGAGATTGTGCTGCTAAAGGCGATGCATCAAACTTTTTAACAATTTCCCTTGCAATTCTTTCTATAGCAGTTCTATTATTATTGGATTCTGAGGGAGGAAATGAATGGTTCGCAAACACTAACCAACAATTTTCGTTTGACAATTTGTCTAGAGGATACACTTGAATAGTATCAAAATGGATTATTTTCGCAACATTTTCGCTCCAAGTTGCCATGAGAATTTTACTTTCCCTGATCCCACTTAGAAATGATTTTTTAAGACTTATCCAGTTATCATTACGCTCAACCAAACATCATCCAAGACAACTAAGAATTTTTTATCTCTCAACTTTTTCATCAACTCAAGCTGAAGTGAATCTAGATCATTCAATTTACAAGACTCACGGGTAACTGTTGGGATACTCCAATGTTGTAGAGGCCTTTTAGGTGATGACCAAAAGCATTGAGGACTTAGACCCAAAGCGGACAATACTTTATTATTACAGAGTATGCTTGTGAAATAAGCTTATAAAAATAATCCTCAGACAAAATACCATAAAATAACCTCAATAGTAATATGTTCTATTATAGTTTTTGTGACCTTCACAATATCAAATTTGTTTTTCATTGGTCGATCTTTGCTAGAATCTCTTTCAAACCAAGATTGTGCTTTTTAAAAAAAAAAAGATTATCTAGTCTTCCAACTATGTCTTCCAACTTACTAATACTAATTATCTTCTTTCTTTTCAAAAAGAGAGAGAAATGTTTGTTTACCTTCTTATGCCCAAAGCAAAAGCAAAAGCAAAATTGTGAGTGCTTAGGCCCAAAACGGACAATATTTTATGATTGTGGAGTATGCTTGTGAAATAACCCTCATAAAATATCTCCTCAGACAAATTCCATTATGTAACCTCAATAGTAATTTGTTCTATTATAGTTTTTGTGACCTTCATAATATCAAATTTGTTTTTCAATAATCGATCTCCACTAGAATCTCTTTCAAATCAAGACTTTGCTTTTGTTTTAAGAGATTATATAGTCTTTCAACTATGTCTTCCAACTTACTAGTACCAACTATCTTCTTTCTTTTGAAAAAGAGAAAGAAGTGTTTGTTTACCTTCTTAGGCCCAAAGCAAAAGCAAAAGCAAAACTGTGAAGACTTAGGTTCAAAGTCGACAATATTTTATCATTGTGGAGTATGCTTGTGAAATAACCTTATAAAAATAATTCTCATAAAATATCTTCTCAGAAAAATATCATAAAGTATCCTTAATAATAATATGTTCTATCATAGTTTTTGTGACCTTCACAATATCAAATTTGTTTTCTATTGGTTGATCTAATAAGGCCTTATGCTGGTCAGGAGTAAATTCCAAACTTGAACCTTCTCCCATCTCCCTTTGAGACATCATGTTTTGTCTGTCATCAGCATCATCATCATGCTCAGCCACATAATTGTTGATTGCATAATTCTTCTTGAGATGTGGAGGATAACCATGTTTTTTATAGCATGTATCCACAGTGTGTCCATTTTTCCCACAGAAGGAACATACTTTTTGATTCTTTCCTCCTTGGCCCCTACCTCGGCCTCTGCCTGCTGATTGAAAATTATTATCTTTGAAATTCCTTTCTTTGAAGTTTCCTCTGCCATTTGTTCCACTATATGCAGTCAATACATGTTGACCACCATTAATGATATTCATCTGTCTTTCTTGCTGAACAAGAAGAGAGAAAACCTTACTCATTGTCGGTAATGGATCCATGAGCATGATCTGCGACCTCACAACAAAATATTGCTCATTAAGACCCTTCAAAAATCTTATCACGTAATCTCCTTCTATGTAGGCTTTCATGGTTGGTATTAATTTGCAGTTACATTGATTGGCACAAGTACAACTCGGGATTGGTCTGAAATTTTCCAATTCCTGCCATAATCCCTTTAGTTGAGTAAAATATGCAGTGACTGACAATTCTCCTTGTCTTAAGGCATATACTGCTTCTTGTAATTCTGATATTCTGAATACATCACCTTGATAATACCTATCTCGTAGATCGTCCCATAAATCCTTTGCTATATCAATCCAAAGAACACTCTGAATGATTTCTGGGTCAAGAGAGTTTATGATCCATGATAACACCATATTGTTGCATTTCTTCCATGCAGGTAGCAATGCATCACCAACATCTGGTTTTGACAAAGAACCATTGATAAACTCCATCTTGCTCTTTGATGTTAGAGCCATTGTCATGGCACGTGACCAAGCATGATAATTGTTCCCTTTCAGAACAATTGGAACAATAGAAATAATTGCATTATCACCATTAGGAACATGATAAGGATTCAACGGATCCATGAGTGGGTTAAGATTTGCCATCGACGAAAAAAAAAACTTCAAAGAACTCACCAGGTCTTGAAAAAAAATGATAAAAGAATATCAACTGGTACCTTAAAGAAGCGAATTCTTGGCAGAATAATTGATCAAGAACCGCAAATAATCCTGATGAACGAAAAACGGTTATCATCTATATTCTAATCAGAGTACGAAACGCAGCAGAGCCCCTAGGAAAGGGGCTCTGATACCATGTGAAAAATCATGGTATAGTATGTAGATTAAGAACCACAAAAGAAAGAATTCTGAAGAGAATTAAGGAAATTTCTTATTGCAGAAAAACAGAGAAAGAAGATTACAAAAGTCACTAAATAAAAATACAAGGCTGAGTATTTATAGAAGAAAGAAAAAACAATGATAACAACTAACTAATTGTAATTAATTAAACTAATTGAGAAAGATAAAATAAACTAACTAACAGTAAACTGTTGTTTACATTATATTTTGTAACATCGAAGGTTCCATCGTCGAACGAGATGTGCTCACCTCGGCCGGACTTCACCAGCGGCTTCACCGCCTTTTGCATGACTCCAATGACGTCTTTGACGCCGATCTCCCTCAGCGCGAAGACGTCGCGACCTTTGGGCATCTCCATGCACAACGACTTCGACTCCGGCGAGAGGTAACCACCGACGATCAGGTTCTGGAACGTCGATGAGTAGAAACGAACGCCGTTGATCCAGTCCTTGCTGGTGTAAAGCTCCGGCTGCGACGAACCTCCTCCGAAAGCAGACTCGACGGCGAGAGGACTAGTGCCGGATAGGTTTTGGAGCACCAGATACCAGAGAATAAGAGGTGAGCGGAAAGAGAGAACAACAAAAAATCAGAGGTGAAACAGACAGAAGAAGCAAATGGTGCTTTTCGTATGGAGAATAGATTGTCCGAGAGCAAAGGAGAGAATGGGAGGTGCTTGCCAGAGATGCGACAGAAAGAAGAGGAAAAAGGAAAATGAAACGGGTAGGAAGATGAAGAAGATGAAGAAGATAAAACATATTTAAATAAACTGAGGGCTATTATCCTCCCCCCTCTGACGAACCCGTTTGAAGTATCCGTTCGGCTCTTCTTACAAAGAAGACTACGAGTGTAACCTTGAGCAGGTACATCTTTATTTTCATATATTTTGTTGATACGTTGTTTTGAATCTTTGGATAATAACACTACCGGATGGAATTACTGAGTAATGAATTAATTCAACAACAACATCTCTTATTTAATTTATAAGCATCACATAAAACCACAGAACTGTTTGAAGTTCATATATAGTAGAATAAAACAAAAGACAAAACTAGCTCGCATAAACGGAGAACATATCCTCCTTTTATTCTATTTTCTAGCACGAAGTACCATGCACCGTCCCTACCAGCCGATACACCATCCAACTCCTTTTCATGCTTCACTTGATGCTTCAGACAAAAAAATAAAAGCACCATATATTAATTTTTGGAATCAAATATATATATATATAGAGAGAACCATTGATAAACTTCATACCAAGTAATTCTCTATTCTTTTAAAAATCAGAGATTGCATACTATCTCAATATATATATTAAAAATGTATTAAATAATGTTTCTATCATTTCTGTGAAGTGAGAAGGCGGCATTTAAATAACAATTTGGGTCAACTATACTACGTTCTACAGTTACATGGTGCATGAGAAGGAAAGAATGACACGTAAGTTTTGTCCGAATGAAACAGACTTAGCATATTTAATGTTATCTACAAAGCTAATTAAGCACTCATGCGGTGAACAAATAAGAACCATATGATAAATATTACAGTCCAAATTCATCTCTTAACCGCATGAATACTTATATAGGTTTATTAATTTTGCTATTTATTTCAATAAATTGACTACATAAATACATAAAAATGGTTATCACAGCAAATCCGGATCCCTATCTGCATATTATAGGACTTAAAAGGCCAAATTAGATAATACTTATTTTTGTGACATATGCATTAATAAACTAAATCTTGTCTCATCTAACAAAATAAATAAATGTATACTGATATTTTAGAGAAAATAAAACTTAGTTTGAGTAACATATGTGTTGTTAGTGCTGTTGTTTAATTAAAGTTAAACTTTTACTTATATCAAAATTTGTAATAAATATAAGTATATAACTTCAGTTTTGATTAAAAAAAACAGTTTCAACAAGATGAAACTGTAAGTAACTTTTGTACTTATGAAATCGAGAATTTGATATCCCTGATGTACGTGAGGAGTGATAATTATTTTTATTTTGTATTTATCTGAATCTTATCACATAGACACGTACCTGGCACAGTTGGTGGAGGAGCTGATCTTGTAGGGTATGTTAACTCCACACTTTCCGGGGAGAGTCTGAGCGTTGGTAGGGTTGAGCCTACGGATGGCAGCGGCTGCCCTCTTCAAGCAGTTGCAAACTAAGCGGCGGTCGGCGGTGGTCCTGGCCGTGTTCACGATGCTCCTAACGCCGCTGCAGCACCTTGAGGTAACAGCACCACCGTTCTGAAGATATCCAAGGCACGGTGCTAGGCTACTCTGCACCTGACCACACGTGATTGCTTCCGCAGTGTGTGCACCGACCACGACCATGCACACCAGAACCACGCATGACAACTTCAGAAAACTAGCCATTTTCAAAAGTGAAGGATGAGTGATCAGTGCTCTTTCTTCTATTTGGAATTGATTAGTAATTCGTGTGTTGTGGTGTTGAGGGGTTTAGGGTTTATATAGTGGTGGTTTTGAGGAGGGTGGAGTAGGTGGTGGTTGTGATGTATTGAATACTTGGCCATCTCGAGGGGCTTGGGATATGGGCTTTCTCTAAGATCTTTATTTTGCTCGTATTTAAATTTTCAAGTGATAAGTGACACTTCAATATAGTTGTGGGTTAGAAATTTACTACTAGGACAACGATAGTGAATGAAGTATTTGAACATAATCAATAATCATTTCACCTTTTGGTTGTATAGTAGCCTTATGTCCTTCTCAACAACAAATCCATTAAAAACTATTTTTATGGCATTCAACAATTTGGGTAAATCATGGTATGATTGTTTCAATTGTCATGTAAGTCTTTAGTTTTAGTTTGCTATCCATGCTTTCCGGTCCGAGATTGTGTAGTCTTTCACACTTTTGATGTGCACTATTATTGTTGGGATTGAAATTAATGGATCATTCTCCATCAATGGAAGAATATTTTTGCTTATATATACATAGTCAAGGTTAACATGATCTTTTGAAATAACTTGGGATGAATAAGAATATTCATCTATTAGCCTATATTCTCCCATTTTTGGCTTTTGTTTATGAAAGTGGCTTGACACCTCCAACCACATTCATCGTTAACACATATGCAACAATTAATGTTGGAGACGATTTCTCGATCCTATAATATATATAGACCTTTTTTGGATATGGTACACGTTTAAAACATGTTTGACTCCCTCCTTTGTGTTGAAAGTCATGCCCTGAAAGGGGGTTTAGAAGCGTATTCGATGTCAACATGGTCAAGTGCATATCTATACTTAGGGTCGGTGAAATCTATTTGAAGATCAACATTGTGCATGTGTATTTGAAAATTGAATTTGGCTGAAGATGTGCCTACATATTAAGTTTGTTGTTGAACAAGATCTTGTTCGTCTTATTTGTGACACACTCTACCCCAACACTTATACACAATAAATTTTAAAAAAAAATATTTTTTTCTTCTCTTTGGAGTAAATAAAATCTTCCATAATTTAATAACATCTTTCATATATAAAACAATTGTTTCAAATATCATAAGGTAGAAGATTCACATTCGTAACATAAATCATTGAAAGTCAACATGTAAATATCAAAGCTCAAGAAGTCATATAAAAGAAAATATAGAATTAATTCCAGCAAAGGTGGCAGTGCCTCCTAGTTAGGAATTAACTTATAACTTTCGAATCAATAATAAAAATAATATGACAAAGATGTACATTTTGGTCTTTTATCAAGAACGTTCAAAATTACAGAATAAAAGAAAAGGCTTTTAAGACAATAATATCCTAAAATAAGCCTAGCTATGCCCGATGTCACATCCTATCAGAGCATGCCCAACTGAAGCCTTAAGCCTCATCCCCAACATCCTCATGATGATGATCACCTGTAACATAATTTAAACATATACAAGAACAACAAGGGAGTGAGAAACATCTCACTCAATTTCAGGTGAAGAAATAAAGGTTAGATAGCACACATACATAACAAATATAAGTCACATGTACATAATACATATAAATAGTCAATATCACATATTTACTCATTTATCATGCTATGATGTCATGGACTCGACTCATAAATGCATGCATGTGGCGCCATAAGGAAGTTTCACAATTCATCATCACTAGTGACTCTAAGGCACACCTGGTTACAACTATCGATGACCCAAAGGTACACCTTGTTAGCATGTTACAACTGTCGGTGACCCTAAGGTACACCTTGTTAGCATGTTACAATTGTTGGTGACCCTAAGGTACACCTTGTTAACATATTACAACTGTCGGTAACCCTAAGGTACACCTTGTTAGCATCACTGGTATGCGGCCTCAGCGACACACCTAGAGTAATATGTGCATATAATGCATGTCACACATTCATTATTTCATTAACTCATCATTTAACTTATTACAGAATTTCATTAAGTATATCATGACATCATTTTTCATGTTCTCATAATCATAACTTGTCTCAATAGTCCATTCTTAGGTCTCATGTCATTTGTCCATATTTCACATGGTCATGTCATAAATACTCCTCATAAGGTCCACATAGGAATTCACAGAGAAAATTCTTTTTCATATTAAAACTTATTTATTTTTAGCATTAATTCTATATTCATTTATTACTTTCAAGGAACAAAGTAACAAGGAACAAAGTAACAAGGAATAAAGTAACAAGAAACAAAGTAGAGAAAACAGAAAAACAGAACAACAGGCAAGGGATTGAGGGTCAATCCGACAAACAAACTATC